CTCCGTGCTCGGATTTCTGTGAAAGATCGGTTAGCAGTTTCGTTCTTCCTGCAAGTTTTTGTTGGCATAAACTCACTCCTGCCTCCTACTTTTGCTTTCGCACCCTTGGTGAGAGCTGTCAGCAACCTGGGCGTGTGTGCTGGGTTTTGTGCAGCTGTCGGCACAGTTGTATGCGCTGAGGTCCTTGGTTTGGATGCGCCTGTAACCCGGTGTTGGCCTGCAGCTCCCTGGCACAGTGTCCCGGCCTTTGTTGATCGCATTAGCATATACGGAATTCTCAGGGGCACTGGGCAGTTTCACTGAACGTGTTTTTGCTTGTCATTTTGTCAAATTTCTAGACTTAGAATTAGAGAAGCTTACTTTATCTCTGCTTTTGGGTTGCTTTGGTGGTTTGTAACCTTTGCATTTTGTTCATGAAATAAAAGCCTTTCAAGAAATACAAAACAAAAACTCTTAACGCTAGTGGTTTGGCTCAGTGGATAGAGCATTGGCCCACAGACTGAAGGGCCCCGAGTTCGATCCCAGTCAAGTGCATGTACCTCAGTGGGCTTGATCTCCAGCCCAGTCAGGGCATGTGCGGGAGGCAACCAGTCGTTGTGTCTCTCTCTGTCTCTTCTTCTCCCTTCCATTCTAAAAATCAATGGAAAAATATCCTTGGGTGAGGGTTAACAAAAATACAAAGAACAAAAAACCCTAAACAACAAAAATTAGAAAATACATGCTGTAGCCGGTTTGCAGTGGATAGAGCGTCGGCCTGCGGACTGAAGGGTCCCAGGTTCGATTCAGGCCAAGGGCATGTACCTTGGTTGCGGGCACATCCCCAGTAGGAGGTGTGCAGGAGGCAGCTGATAGATGTTTCTCTCTCATCGATGTTTCTAACTATCTCTCTCCCTTACTCTGTAAAAAAATTAATAAAATATACTTTTTTAAAAAAATTAGAAAGTACAGAATTTGTATATTTTTTAATGTCTCCTGTTGGTTTAAAGTAATATTAGAATTTGAATCTTAACATTTTCCAAGCAAATTCCTTAGAGAATGTGGTGAGGGGAGCTCCGGCTATGGGAGGGGTGCCTGCGCCTGTGGCTGGCGCACTGATGGCCTGTCTCCACAGTGGACTGGATCGTGGCGGACATCCTGGCCATCCGGCAGGGCGCCCTGGGGCACGTGCGCTACGTGCTGAAAGATGGCCTGAAGTGGCTTCCCTTGTACGGCTGTTACTTCTCTCAGGTAACGCTTCTCCCATGCTTTTTAAAAAATGTATATCTAGCTTATAAAAATTTTAGACTTAAAAATTAAATATACACAGTATAAATGTAGAGGTTGGGGATTGTTTTTTTGAGTTTAATAGCTTTTACTAAATTGAAGTAATTTTATTTTAGATTTTTAATGGTGTGTATTTGTATACATGTCTGACTATCTAGATAGTCTTATTAAATAGCAAAAATGCAAATGTATAGAAATCAGACAAATAGGGAAACTTAACAGCATAGAATTTGATAGACAGTTACCTTAAGAAAACAATAATAAAAGTGATTATGGCCCAGCCTGTGTGGGTCAGTGGTTGAGTGGTAACCTTGAACCAGGGGTTCATGGTTTGATTCCTGGTCAGGGGCATGGGCCTGCATTGCAGGCTCACTTCTAGGCCCTGGTTGGGGTGCTTGCAGGAGGCAACCAATTGATGTGTCTCTCTCACATTGATGCTTCTCTCTTTCTCTCTTCCCTCCCTTCTACTCTCTCTTAAAAAAAAAAAAAAAAAAAAAAAAAAAAAAAAAGAATTATAAATGATAGTCTTCTTTGAAAATGGTGCTTTAGCTCCATGAGCAGCAGTCCCAGGAGGGTAAGTTTCTGTGGAGCAAAGAATATTCATGAACAGATTCTGTACTGTTTTGGAATTCTAAAGGAATCAGAAGTCAAGGTCAAAGTAAAAAGACAACTTATACCCACTGTTCCCATCTCAGTTTTCCTTCATTTCCATTTTACTAGGATCCTTCTCTTCTCTTCCTTGACCTTCTCAACTCAAGACAGGCTGTATTCTCAAAAAATCAAAGTCACAGTTTTGTGAAATAGTTGAAGACCAGCCTTAAGCATTCAGAGCCCTGGAAGATGCTTAGCTGAGGGCGTGGTAGGATTCTACCATTTAGCAGTGACCTGGGAATGTTGGCAGAGTGACTGGGGGCCTTGGGTCTTTTTCTGAGAACACGAAGATCCCACGATAACTTGAGAAGTCCTTTAGCCCATCCACTTTACTATTCGGATAACCTGGGCATGGTGGGTTTGTTCTCGAGGTGCCGAAGCTGACGGGCCTTCAGCCAGGGTTGCTCTGTAGCCTGCGTGAGCCTGACGAGCTGCAGAACGACCTGCCCTGCTTTGTTCCCTGGAAAGGCCTGGGTGGTGCGGGTGTGTTCTCTGTGCGGGCGTGGCGGTACCCTGCTGTGCGAGGGTCTGCCCCAGCACCACCTGTCGGGAGCTTCCCCGCCCAGCCCTGTTCTGGAGGCACCAGGCCCGCTCCTGCTGTCTGGCCCACCCAGGCCTCCCTAGCAGCTGTCTTCCCAGGCGGGTGTTCCTCCCTCCTTGCCCTCCCTCAGGCTGTTCCTCAGTGCCCGGGCCCAGGATAGATGTCACCAGGACGCCCCCTCCTGCTGCCGCTTCCACTCTCTCCTGTCCTGCCTTTCCTTTGGGCTCTTTCTGAAAACACCATGTTCTCTATACCCTCCTTGTGGCGCATGTCACTTCCCCTGCTCAGTAAGCTTCTTGCTTCAGTGTCTTGGGATGTTTTGAATTAAAATAGACTTCAGTAAGCAGGTGAAGTGACAGGGAAGAGACGCTGCGTGGAGAACAGATGCACGTCCCTGGAGGCTCGGTGTGTGGTGTGTGCAGCCCGTGGCTTTGACCTCCGACAGAGCGGGCTCCCGGCAGCCCTGTCTGTCCGGGCGAATAGGCAGTGGCCCTTGGAGTGTCCTCGCTGCGCTCCGATGGCCAGTGCGCACGTGGAAGGAGCCGCCACCGGGTGGAAGACCCCTGCTTGCCTCTCTCGTCATTCCTGTCGCTCAGACTGGATGCGCACAGCTCGGTGCAGCCAGTCCACTTACTCCAGACGAGTTCGACTTAGCACAGAGGGAAGCAGAACTAAAGTAGAGACAGATGCCGCCCTGATGCGGAGTCTCATTAAGGTTCCTGTGTGGTTCTGCGTGGACCAGGCTCCTGCAGCTGGGCGGGCACACACAGCAGGCCTGTTTGCTCCCAGGCCCTGAGGGGGACGGGCTGGGGGCAGTGCTGGCAGGCCTCTCCCTCCAGCCTCTCCTCCCTGCCGATGACTCCTCCCGCTGTGGCCTCTCTGCACTCCTTGGAAGGCACTGTCCTGCCCTGTTGGATTAGGGCCACCTGGGGACTCAGAACCTGCATCTCCCTGGAGGCCCATCCCAAACACCGTCACCTCGCAGGGCAGGACTTCCACACAGGAGGGGGGACACGGTTTCGTCAGCGGCAGTGCTGTGGACATATCTTAGTCGGGCTAGTTTCTGACACCCGAAAGACCATAAATGTGGACATTTTAAGGACACTTGGTAGTGATTTCACAATTAGTGGAAAAATTGAGAACTAAGATGCATCTGAGATCGAGTTTTTTATCTTAAAAATGCATTTTTAAAAAATAAAGCATTTTTATTTTAACTGCCAACAAAACTAAGCAATAATGTACTTTGCAATATGCAGCTTTATTTGAATTATGTTGCATCATAGGAGAATTTCAACTAATGTCCTTTAGATGGGAATGTTTGAGCGTATTCAGGAGTTTCCTGCCGGCCTGTCTGGTGCCGGCCGCTGGTGCTGTGACAGTAACGCTCTCTGGCCTGTTGGCAGCACGGGGGCATCTACGTCAAGAGGAGCGCGAGGTTCAGGGAGAAGGAGATGCGCCAGAAGCTGCTGAGCTATGTGAGCGCCGGGACCCCGGTAAGTGACGGCCGCCCTCCGCTCGGTGTGCGCTTTAGGACTTGGTGAGATGGAAGGATTGTCTGCCAGGCTGTTGTCCGTGTGTAAGGAGTAATTCGGGGCTTTGTTAAGGCCACAGAAGCCCTCCCCATAGAGCAAGCACATGCGGACATGAGACGGTGGCTGCGGACGGACGGCGGGCCTTTGCTGGGGCTCGGTTTGACCCGAGAGAGCAGGCAGGGAGGACGCGGTGTCTAGTCTATAAATAGCAGGCGGCTGCCTGTCACTTAGGCCTCCACCCGCTCTGCCTGGTCTCCATGTCAGCGCGTCCAGGCGGCTGCTTTCTGGCTGTGAGGGCCGTGTGACTTCTTGTGTAGATTCAGTTATTTGAAAAGTCAAAATTAGTGTCAGTATCTGCAAACAAAGAACCATTCAGTGTAAGTATTACTTTATAAAACTTGCCCCCCCCCCCAAAGAATATTGGTATTCGCTTAGAAAGACGCTGACAGCCGCCCAGCGCCCTCACCCTGCTCCCCCAGAACCCAGGAATCAGTGCCTGCGCTTCCTCCAGTGCCCAGGGGCCCTGTGGCTCAGAACCTCTTCTCCAGGGTCAGGCTCCTTCCTGTCCTCCTCTGTGCCCTCCCTGCAGCGCGTGGTGAGGAGGAGTTCTTCCTCCACAGCAGCTGGTATGCACCCGCGGCAGGTGCTTGTTCACAGCCAAGCGCTCCTTGTTTCGCACGGAGGCCGTGTGACTCCGCCCCGGACGGCTCACCTGCAGATGTTGGGCGTGGGGCTGGTGTTCTCGGGTGGGAGAGAGATTCTTTGAGCATTCGGCATCCTAAATGAAAGCCTCTTATTTTTTTGTTAATAAATTTAAAAGCTTGGGATAATTTTGGATTTACCAAACCCAAGTGAAAAAAGGTGCCTCTGGAAAGGAAGAAAATATTGCAAACCACGTATCCTGTAAGGTGTTAATTTTGAAAATACATGGGACTCAAGCAGCTCAGTAGCAAGAAAACACATCACCCGGAAATGGGCAAAGGGCTTGACTGCACACTCTCCAAAGAAGCCCTGGGGCAGGGGGGCAACATGACAAGGTGCTCCACGCCCCTGATCACCCATCAGGGCCACAGGCAGGTGTCACCTCACACCTGGTAGAGTGGCTGCTATCAGGACGTCAGGAGGTGTGGAGAGAAGGGAGCCCTTAGATACTGTTGGTGGGAACCTAAATTGGTGGTGTCCTTATGGCAAACAGAACAGAGGGCCCGGGAGGGATTAAAATAGAGCTGCCATCTGATCTGGCAATTTTACTTCTGGGTGTAGATCGAAAAAATATGTATATGACCACTGTCTCGAAGCGATACCTGCATCCGTGTTCATTGCAGTAACATTCACAGCAACCAAGATAAGGATGCAACCTAGGAGTCCATCAGTCGGGGAGTGGCTAAAGAAAATACGTATCGAGAGAGAAGGAAACCTGTCATTCACGACAGCACAGCAGGGGCAAGGTTTTTATCTATGGAAGAGCTGTTGGTGAGGGTGCCTGATGTGCATCCAGCTGCAGGTGTAGCAGGTAGGACCGGGTGGGTGTGCTTTATGCACACACCCAGGTTGCAGGTGGGATTGGGTGCATCTTGCTGTATGCACACACCCAGGTGGTGCAGGTGGGACTGGGTGGGTGTGCTCTATGCACAGCCCCAGGTGGTACAGGTAGGACTGGGTGGGTGTGCTGTATGCACACGCCCAGGTGGTGCAGGTGGGACTGGGTGGGTGTGCTGTATGCACATGCCCAGGTGGTGCAGATGGAACTGGGTGGGTGTGCTGTATGCACATGCCCAGGTGGTGCAGATGGAACTGGGGGGGTGTGCTGTATGCACATGCCCAGGTGGTGCAGATGGAACTGGGGGGGTGTGCTGTATGCACATGCCCAGGTGGTGCAGATGGAACTGGGGGGGTGTGCTGTATGCACATGCCCAGGTGGTGCAGATGGAACTGGGGGGGTGTGCTGTATGCACATGCCCAGGTGGTGCAGATGGAACTGGGGGGGTGTGCTGTATGCACATGCCCAGGTGGTGCAGGTGGGACTGGGTGGGTGTGCTCTATGCACACGCCCAGGAGACTGAGTAGTCAGGTGTGTCCATCACCTCCGAGTCACCCGTGGGGCTGTGCCGTTCTGTCCCGGGGCTGTCGGTCGCTGCTGTGCTCCCTGTCACTGTAGGGGAGATGAAGGGAGTCACACAGGCTGGGCTGTTTGGCTGGGGTGGGTGTCTGGCATTTTCCACTGAGCATGGCTTCTTTGAGATTCATCGCATGATCATGTGAAGTGTGGGTCAATGTTTTGTTCTCACTGCTGAGTAGGATGTCATTGTGTGGAGGTGCCACCACTTGTCTCAGTTTGGGACAACAAATATCTAACTTCTCTCATGTCTCTGGGCTGCCTTTTCATATTCCTGACAGTGACTTTAGAGCAACAGTTTGCCTGACTTGGTGGTTGAGTGTTGACCTATGAACCAGGAGGACACAGTTGGATTCCTGGTCAGGGCACAGGCCCGGGTTACGGCTCGATCCCCAGTGTGGGGTGTGCAGGAGGCAGCCGATCAATGATTGACTCTCTCCATCTCCGTATCTCTCTCTCCCTCTCCGTTCTTATCTGAAATCAATAAAAATATATGTATATTTTTTAAAAAAAAAACACTTTTTAGTTCCTCCAATTCATTGATTCTTCTCTTAAGATTTCTGCTTTTTGTGTCCTATTTCAGAATTCTTTGCCAAAATCAAGATTATGAGACTTTCTCCTGTTTTCTTCCAGAAGTTTCATAGGTTTAGCTGTGCATTGAGGCTGCCATCTAGTTTGAGTTAACTTCTGTGTGTGGTGCATTTGGAAAGGTGGGGTGGAAGTCTTATTTTGTCCTTTGGCTACCAGACATGTTGGTGTCGTTTTTGTAGCTCAGCTCTGAGGCTAGGAGTTGACTCTGCAGTTTCACTGTTTCTGTTCTGACTTCCCAAGCAGGTAAGTGATGCCCGGACCGAGGGGTTACTCAGCTCACATGATGTGGTGCCTTCCCCCCAGCGCCTAAAGTACGGTGGCTCAGAAAGCCAGCCGCTAGCACGCAGCAAGGAAGCTCTGTAAAGTAACACTCTGTACTTTTTGAAATGTGAACACTCGTTACCTTTTATATTATGGGAATTTATGTATTTATATATGATTTTCCTCAAATAAGATGTCCTTAGGGACACAGATATCTAAAATTTACGCCTTTTTAAAGTCATTTTGCAGAATTGGGAGGGAGAGAGACTCATTAATTATTACTTAATAGAGGTTTTGCATGAGTCAGCGTTTTGTGGCTGAGTTTTCATTTAACGACTATTAACAGGTAATCAGAAGTGTTCGGTTCTTGATGACTGACTTACCAGTGAGTGCAGACTGCATTTTGTATATTGTCTGCGTTAGATAAGACCATTTGAATTTTGCGTTTGGTTGCTCTGCTTGAAATGAAGGCCAGATGTAAATGAACGTGTTGTTTCCAGCGTGGGAGACGCTCTCTTAGCATCCGTGGGGCTGGCCTGGGTAAGGTAACAGCAAAGCTCACACCCCGAACCTCGCTCTTTCTGCCCGCAGATGTACCTGGTGATTTTTCCGGAGGGGACGCGGTACAACCCCGAGCTGACAAAGGTCATTTCCGCCAGTCAGATGTTCGCTGCTCAGGAAGGTAAGTGAGCCTTCACTGCTTTTGAAAAACGTTTTAAAGACAATGACCTTTAAGTCTTTGTTTCCAGAGAAGATGTTTATGTCTCCCAGCAATTGAAATGCATGAGCGTATTTTCCCTGAGTGAATGTCCGTGTAACCCTTAGGGAATGAGGGTTCTTCTCGTTCACATGCTGAGGTCTCACACCCGAGAGGTGCAGTTCAGAGGCTGGCCAAGCACCGTGTCGGTGCCGGGGTTCAGGTGACACCGTGTGGGTGCACGATGCCCCGTGAGGGCTCTGTGTGACGCGGTTGACAGGCCTGGATTGGAACCCCAATGGTGACACCTCCTGGCTGTCTGGGTGCCGGCTGCCTGGTGTTACGGCCTGCTTCCTCATCGCTTAGGAAATACACACCTGATGGGACGGACCCAGGTCAGTCTGTGAGAACCAGCTGAAGGTGGGGGCGTGTCTGCTGGAGAACACGACACAGTGGGTCACGGACTTGGGAGCTGCTTTATGTCCCCAGTAATGAGAGTTCTTGACATCCATGTTGTAGAAAAGTGGGTGACTCGTCTACCTGGGAGCAAATGGGGGGTAAACATAAAGCAGTGGCCCTGCTGTTTTCTCTCATGAACAAGCGAGACCCCCCCCACACAGGTCCCCACACACCGGTCCGTGGGGACGTCCTGATGACCCTGAGCAGGCTCACGCACCGCCATCCTGGAGAGCGGGCTGCCAGGACGCATGACCAGGTAGTGGCTCCCCCACGCACTGGGGAACATCAGAACGCAGCGGTGCAGCGAGGAAATCATTTTTAATTTTATTTATTTTTAGTTAATTCATTGTGATCTGATGTGAATGCTCCGTAGGAGATGAGTGACTGCAGACAGGAGCAGCTGTGTGTCTGCACCCAGGTCAGCCTCAGGGCAGGGCCCCAGAGGCGAGACCGGCTGGCTGCTCTGCGGGGTGAGCAGCACCTCTCCTTCCACTGCCTGAGGTGGGAATGGGCGGGCTGGAGGGTCCAGGTGACTGGCACCTCGCCTGGGCTGGCTGCATCATCTGGGCGCCGCTCAACTCTCTCCCTTTCCATCCTCCTCACGGTGTTCGTCAGCTACCGTCTTGCCAGGATACAGTCTGAGATGGACGTGACCGTGAGCTGGGGCTGCGTTCCCTCACGTGTCTGAGTTCTGGAACCCAGACAGCTACTTGATCTCTTTTGCTGTGGGTCCCTGTTTGTTAGACAGGAGTTACACCATCTCTTTAAGGGGCTTTGGGGAGGCGGCGACTTCCTGTTTGCAGACAGCAGGTGTGGAGGGCGCTGTCTGCTGTGCTGTGCTGTTCAAAGAAGGCATCGGCATTGCGGTCGGGCACCCTCGGGTGTCCTGGAGCCAACGCCCCGCAAGGCCACGGGAGGTGGAGCTTTCCTGGAGTCAAATGCGACCAGGAATGTTGACGGTGGGGCTGGCACCCTGACCATGTTGTTCAAGGGTTAACTGCATGTACAGTGCATGTGATATGTGAGTGTGTATCCTGTTTAGGTAAAACAAACGTTTGTATGCAAAGAGATTTGTTCCCTGTGTTATATTTACTCAGAGTCATCATTCAGTCCAAGCTCCAGGCCCGGCATCGGCCGCCTCCGCGGCTTGCACCAGCAGGCTTCCTGCGTTTCTCCCAGCCTGGGGCCTGGGGCCTGGGGCCCAGCTGTCCTGTGGCCGCGGTTTCTGGTGAGAAGCGTCCTCCTGGCGTGGGAGGCTGCCGCCCGCCCACTGTGTCCTCACGCGGCCTTCCCAGTGCGCACACAGGCTCCTCTGTGCCTCCCTCTCTTGATGAGCACACAGCCCTGGCGGATGGAGGCCCGCAGCTCTGACCTCACTGAATCTTAATTGCCTCCCAGAGGCCCATCTCCAGGCCAGGCCACAGGGCCAGGACCCAGCGCCAACTGGGCGGGGGAGGGTACCTCAGCCCATGCAGGCCTATGCTGTTTCTCTGTGTAATGAGATTTAACACATATTTCTTAATCCGTCACTTTAAAAACAGTTCACCTTTATTATTTAATCTCAACTGAGATGGCTGTTTATATGCCTATTAAGAATTAATTTTTTTAAGTCCACAGCAATTTTGTGATGTTTTAAAACAAGTACTTTTAAGTAGTTTTTAAAATTGTGTAATAGTGATATACATTTGAGCTTCTTAGTCTAACAAGAACCCAGCCACCTATAATTGATCTGTTATTGGCCCTCCATTTTTCTGAGTTGTAGGTCTTTCTCAAAGCTACCAAAAGGGGAAGAAAAGTTTGTATTCCTGATGTAATTTTAAATGCTCACTTTCCTTCTTTAACTTCTGAAACTGGAACACTGTTGCCATCTGTTCAAGTCTGTTGTCTTGCGACTCGGAAGGTAATTATCCGCACCACACCGAGGAGATGGATTGTGAGCAGCAGGTCTAGAAACAGTGTTTCCTGTTTCCCTGCACTTCAGGCACAACTTAATTAAAAACAGAAGACTTGTTTCTCCGCCTGTTAATTTTTCCTCAAGAAAGTTGAAACTAGTAATGCGTTAGTCTGATATGTTTTGCTACTAAACATCTTTAATTTTGCTCCTAAAATACCTTCATTTGATCCTGACTGAGCAAGTAGAAAAGCAGCTGGGATTTTTTAAAAACTGACACTTGTTCACACATCTAAGTCATTATGCCAGGCCCCACGCTTCCTCCTCTGTGGACAGTGGTGCTACTGGCTGAGCAGGTGGGCGTGTCTAATGTGTGTCTTAACCCTAAGTATGTCAAGGCCTGGTTATTGCTTGTTTCTGGAAGTATTGCTTAAGAAAGATCAGGCACAAACTATGTTGATTCATATTAGGGTTGTTATTTAACATATGTTTGTGTTATAGTGTCTTGAATTAACATTGTTTACTTCAAAGATTGTTATATTAATGGTCTCTAAATTCCCTTCTTACTAGAACTAAATGTTAGTCATTCTTTTAAAAATGAGTATTCACATTACCAAATAAATTGTCCAAGATTTTGTTTAACTACAATCTCTCCAGGACAAAACCAGATTTTGAGAGATTGAAATATAGGTAGAATCTTCAGGAAACTGTTTCTGCCAGGCAAGCAAGTTGTATATTGAAGGCTGCTCACTGTTATACTAGTAGATTAGCAAAAGTAGAACTTTATTTTCAGAAAAGCTAACAGGAACTTGTCATTTAGGAACACAATGGTAAGGATAGTTCAGCATCATAGGTGAAGGCATTGTGTAACAGTATATGAAGAAGTTGTATAAATATATCAATAGGAGGTGCTAGCTAGTAAAACGGTCTTAGACAAAAATAAAATAATAAGGCGCGGCACAGACCCAGGATTCTCAGGTTTGAGCCAGTGAACTGGCTTTCTCATGTCACTCGAAGCCCTGGGGAGCGACCGTGTTCGTCAGTCACGAGGAGACAGTGTCTGCTTTCTCACCTCACACAGGGACTCCACCCCGGCCCCCTCGAGCTTCACGCGCTGGAGATGCTGGTTCAGGTGCCACTGCCCAGCGGCCACTTCTCAGTGGTGGGCATGGTGGCCGTTCCTTCTGAGCCTTCCCTGCCAGCTGTCCCCTGTCTCCTGCTCTCTTCCTCCCTCGCTGGCCTGGCCGGGCCTTTGGAGCTGGAAGGCAGAGCTGGAGCAGGAGGCGGCTTGGACCAGAAAGCTGTGGAGTCATTAGCGCTGCTCACAGTGCCTTCCTGCGGGGGTGGGGGCGGGGGCGGGGGCAGGGATGTTGTTAGTGTGGTGTGCATATTAGGTGGTAGGTATTTCTTTTTTCTTTTTTTAATGTTTTATTGATTTCAGAGAGGAAGGGAGAGAGAAAGGGAGATATAGAAACATCAGTGATGAGAGAGAATCATGGATCTGCTGCCCCCTGCACACCCCCCACTGGGGATCGAGCCCGCACCCCGGCACGTGCCCTGACCGGAATTGAACCGCGACCTCCTGGTTCATACAACGCTCAACCACTGAGCCACACCTGCCGGGAAGTGGTGGGTGTTTCTTAATCATTCATCACAAAGCTTTATTCCAATGCATTTTTTTGGAAATATTACTTCTTTGTCCTTAGCTGCCTACTCAGTTGGACTCCTAATCACTTGTTCTTGCTGAGCAACACGGGGGCTCGGTGGGACCTGGCTGTGCAGTCGGTGAGCGTGCTCTGGCCTGCACACCTGCGGCCAAGGCAGAGCAGCCTGTGAGAAGTGGGTGCCCGCGCAAGGAGGTAGTGACCGATGTCGCTGGCAAAGGAACGCTCCCTAGCCGGCCACAGTCAGACTTGCGCTTTAAGTTTGAGTAGAGGGAGCGGCTCTGCCTGGGGCCACGTGGTGTGGGAACCTCTGCTGTTCCCACAGCCTCTGCATTGCCAGCATTCCTTCCAGGCCCGGCTGGGCAGCTGCTCCTCCTCTGTTCCTCTGTGCTGGGCAGCCCCCCCTCCTCTCCTCTGCTCTGTACTGGGCGGCCCCCCTCCTCTCCTCCGCTCCTCTGTGCTGGGCGGCCCCCCTCCTCTCCTCTGCTCCTCTGGGCTGGGCGGCCCCCCCCCCATGGGCTCCCTGGGTGGGGAGCGGAGAGCTGCTCCTGGTGACACTGTCCGGGAACATCTCACCAGAAGAGGGCGGCTGTAGGCACAGGAGGGAGCAGGGTTCTTAGCACTTGTGGAAGCACTGATAGCTACCTGATTATTATTAAATCGCAGTGTTTCTCAGATAAAGAAGGCTTTATACAAAGAAGCTTTTAAAAAATCATGAAATATACCCAAGAGAATTAAAATCCTATGTTCATACAAAATCTTACTGGTGCATGTATGTGCGGCGTTTGTATGTAGTGGATGTAGTGGACATACATGTGTGTAGCAGCATTCTGCACAGTAGCCAAGGGTGGAAGCCACCAGGGGCCTATAGTGTTGGTGGAGATGGAAACGTGCTGTCCACACATGCGCTGTCATTCAGCTGCAGAGGAGCGGGGCCCTGACGTGGCCACCGCGGGCGACCCCAGGGTCTGAGTGCGTGAAGGATGCCAGTCACAGATGTCCACACCATAGGATTCCAGCTCTGACATGCTCTAACAGGCAGAGCTATTGAGGCCCAAAGCAGGGGCCTGGCCACGGGGAGGGTCTGGGTGAGGAAATGGCCTGGGGTTTGCTGGTGCTGATGGTTGTGCAGCCCTTTGAATAGGAAAACCACTGAACTGTGGCTTTAAAGGTAAGTTCTGGATTGTGTGCTGGATCCCAGCTTCCTAGAAAAGGGCACCAGAAACCCGAGTCCCAGGCGGGTGCCTCCCAAGCGGCCAGTCAGGTGCTGGTGGGGATCCGGGCCTGGAGCCTTGAGGCCGGTCAGGGCCCCCTCCCGCCTGCTGCCCTGTGAGGAGGTCACCAGGTGGAGGGCCCCCCTCGGGCCCTGAGCCCCCAAGGCCATGGGTCTCGCTCGCACAGATACTGCTGTGACTTAAACATCGTCACGTGCGGGCATGTTCCCATCCTCAAGTCCAGCACGTGAGGGCGTGCCCTGCATGGCCTCGTCTGTCCCTGGACCTTTTATGGCCGGGCAGGTCTGCGCGGGGTGTGCCTGAGCCGCAGCCACATGAGTGCTCTTTCCCAGGCCTGCCTGTGTTGAAGCATGTGCTGACGCCGCGCGTGAAGGCCACGCACATCGCCTTCGACTCCATGAAGAACTACTTAGATGCCGTCTACGACGTCACTGTGGCCTTCGAAGGGACCGTGGACAACAAGGGTCAGCGGAAAGAGGCGCCGTCCATGGTCGGTGAGTCTGTAGTCAGTCCCGTGTCCTGTGTTTCTCCAGGATTCCACATTCGTCTGTGACGGTGTGGATGCCAGGAGACCCGCTAGGCCTGGTGTTTCTCAGTTGGTCCTACAGACAAGCCCTTGTCATGAACTCAGCCTCTTTCCACCCAAAGTCCCCACAGGGGGCGGGGCCGCTCATCTGCATGCATTTGCATACAGTGTTTCTGAAGTAGGGTCACTAACAAGAAAGCTAAGTGTGACCTTTCTTTCAACACACTAGGTTCTCAGGTCGCTGAGCTGTGACTGTTGGGTGTGACAGAGAAAATAGAATGTTCCGTGAGCGTATCTTTAAACAACTGAGACCCTCTGACTCTTGGGGAAGTTTGCATGGAGCAGGCGAGGAATGCGCGACCGGGTCCCCTTGTCAGCGTCCACTGCGCTGACAGGAGCCGGGAGCTGGGGCGGGCCTGCGCCTCGCCTTGGCCAACGCCTGGTGTGGCACCCATGTGCTTGCCCGAGTGCCGCTCGCAGGATCTCTTGTAAATGAAAAGAAAGCCCGTGCTCGCTGTATGTGCCAAAGGCACCGAGAGGCGCAGGGAGGCCTGGGGGGCGGCGTGGGGAGAGGCGGGGGCTGCGTGGGAGAGCTGGTCGCGGTGCATCAGGAAACCTGCGCCGTCACCCCGAGTCACGTGATGGCCTCACCTTGGCCTTCAGCCAGGGCACGGGAACATGGGAGGCTGGGGGCTTTTCATTTTCAGTGGGACGTGGGGGACATGTTACACATGAAGCAGGTGAACATGAAAGCTGCCCACCTGCCCCATGTCCACCGGTCCCCATCCAGCAGGTCCCCGCGCCCATCCCAGAGGCCTTTTCTACCACTAAAGGAGCCGTTGACCTGTTTTTACATTGAGAACATACAGGCATTTAGTTCGACAGAGTTGTCATTAGTGTATCAGACAGTGTTTAAAAATAGGATTAAACCTGTTTTTACTTTTATGGAAACCAAGTAGAATCCCCACCGTCACAGTAACCATTGTAAAGTGCTACTTTCATTGGTCCCTCGGGGGCCTGTGTCCCCTGGGGGTGAGAACTCAGTGGCTGGGCAGTGTCCACAGGAGGAGTACCCGCTCTCCCACCACTGCTACTCCTACGGGCAGCCGGCCGAGCCGCTGGCTTCGTCACAGACTGTCCTGTGTTTGAGAAGGTGGCTCTCGGACTCACACCTGTAGCCGTGGGGAAAGCAGAACCCCTGCTTTCTGTCTGTGACGGACGGCTCTGCAGGAATGACACCAGCCTGACCTGGAGGACAGGATGGACACAGATGGGAAGAGCACCTCTGCTCAGCTCAGGGGGAAGGCCTGCTCCTTGGTGTGTGGAGTGGGCCTGCCGGCTGCAGGGGGGAGCCGTGCCCAGGAAGAGGGCACAGGCCGAGGACAGAGTGTTCGCAGGACAAGTGCCAACCACATTCATAATGAGAAAAGTGCACGTTCACGGTGTCAGGGAGACGCTGTTCTTTCACTGTTGGCTCGGCTGCCATCCCAGGCACCGGCTGGCGGTGTGTCCAGGGTCACAGTGTGGGTCTCATGGCCTGTCCCTCACCTGGTGCTCGCGGTCCCGCCTATGAGGCCTCACCACAGGCCCGGCTAGTGCCTCGGGCCACGGCCTCCGCACACCCTTCCTCCGGTGCGGACTGCCCACACGGCTGGTGAGGAGCAGGTGGAGGGACACAGGGTGCTCTGTCCCTTGGGGACGCCTCAGCCCCGGAGAGTCAGCGTCCTTTCCAGCGCCGGGCCTCCCCCTCGCCCTCATCTTGCTGGAGGCGGTGCCGGCCTCAGCACCTGGCCCAGCCCCTCCTCCCACAAGGGCAGGGCACCGCAGCCGCCCCCGCTGCATTTGGGGCGACGGGGACGGTGCCCTGTCTGCCTCCTCACGGAGTGGCTTGTGCTCGTTCACATGGTGCCCATGGGGCGAGGCTGCACCCTGGGCTCCTCACAGCGGCCCACACGGCTGACCTGCCCAGGGTCCATGTGGGTGCAATTGAAAGATAGAACCTGAGGAAGGTTAAGACCAAAGTATTGAAAGATGAATCTTCCCTGTTGTAGTACTTTCTCATGTTTGCCATCCAAGCCAGTTCACTCCTGGAAGTCTGTAAGAAATAAGGTGACTTTTGATGCCTGAAAAGCTGCGTGCTCCTGAGGTGGACGCCAGAAATAAAGGACAGTAGGGGAGAGGATTGACTTGGCAAGGAAGGGTGTGTGGGTTCAGCGGTGGGGGCTGTGGGGTGGGAGCCCGCTGATCAGAACCAGCAGGACCACATCTCAGCTGGAAGTGAAAGGTCTCAGCCTCGCACTTCCTTCCCCCCAGGGAGTCTAGTTGTCCCTGAAGTCTCCCAGGAGGGTTGCTTGTTCTCGAGGCACTGACATGTTCCCAGGAGCGGGAGTTGTGTAAGGGCTGGTGCCAGGCGGGGCCGGGAGAGCATGCCAGCCAATCAGAAGCCAGAGCAAGGCCTGGAGCCGGAACAGGGCCTCCGGACAGGAGGGAGGCTCAGGTGCGGGCAGGGACCAGGGATCCACCCGGGAAGAAGTGCCCGGTGGGCCCGTGCTTTGGCGAGCGAACCAGGCACACCCCTCCCCCGGGTGGTCTCCCAGTGGGTGGGAGCGTCCTGGCCTCGGGAAGGTGAGCTGTGGGTGTGATGGTGCCGGCAGCAGCAGCCGCTCTGGCAGGCGCACCTGCAGCAGGTCCCGCTCCTTCCTGCCCCCCGGGCTGGCGGCAGGTCCCTGGGGTCAGCTGGTGGGGCTGAGAGCCTTTAACCCTTTGTGAAGGAATCTGTACTCTTTATTTTTAAACTTCTTTTTTTGCTTCATTTTCATTACTTTGTATAACCATGAATTCTAGACTAAAAAAATGAAATATTTTTGGTTTTTGTTAGAATTTCTCTGCAAAGATTGTCCGAAAATCCATATCCACGTTGCTCGCATAGACAAGAAGGACGTCCCGGAGGAACGCGACTTCATGAGGAGGTGGCTGCATGAACGGTTCGAAATAAAGGACAAGTGAGTGGCAGTGGCTCAGCCTTCAGAGGCCGTGCCTCCCTGTGAGCCAGGCTCTCAGTCCAAATTCCAGGGGGCAGACAAGAGGGCACAGCTGGTTCATGTAGTCCCTCCCCCGGTTCCTCATTGGCTGAGTGCTCTTTGTCACCTATTTCCTATAGGTCACCCAGGTCTTGCTGCCTCCCATTGGTTATTTAAAAATTTGGGCTGGGCCTTCTCTAGTTGCCTCCACCTCCCTTTGTCTGGGGGAATCTTCCTGGGACACTGCTATCAGCCACTTCAACAGCTGCCTGGCCACATGCTGTTTCTTTTCTATAAAGATAAATCAGAGGCGTATTTCTTACAACCTGATGTCAGCTCCCTAAACAGCTGGACCAGACGTGGTGTGTCCCCTGAGAGCCCCCTGGGGTCAGCTCAGGGCCGGTCCAGCACGTCTGCGTTCCCGCCGGACGGGGACGTCCCTGTGAGAGGGCCCCTCCGTTTTCCTCTGCTGTGTTTCCAGACGACTCCGTGGTCAGGTGTCAGTTTCCTCAGAAAAGGCACGGCCGGCGGTGAGCCTCCCGGGTCTGCTGCCCAGGCCGAGGGAGAGGCTGTGTGAGCAGCTGGAGCGATGCCGGCATTCCCTGGAAGGAGGGGCAGGGCATTTCCCCACCAAAACGTCTTTTGGGGCCGAAACGGTTTCTGGGATTGACCTTGTGTTTGTCCATGCGCATGACGTGGGACAGATAAGAGCGTGGAGCGTGGCGAGAGTTACCTGGAAGGGGCCCCTCTGGGTGAGGCCCTCGTAGAGAGGTCGTGCCACCTCCTCAGGGGCGGGCCTGGCCTCCAGGCCCGGGAGAGGACATGGTGTCGGATGTCACATGTTTCTAAAGCAAGGACCACAGAGCTCTTCTTTAGAAAAAAAAATTATCTATCTGTCTATCTATCTATCTATCTATATAGATAGATAGATAGACAGATAGATATTGATTTCAGAGAGGAAGAGGGGAAGAGAGAGAGAAACATCAGTGATGAGAGAGAATCATGGATCGGCTGCCTCTCCTGCATGCCCCCTGCTGGGAATTGAGCCCATAACCGGGGCTGAGGCCTGACTGGGAATTGAATCCGGGACCCTTCAGTGCACAGGCCGACGCTCTATCCACTGGGCCAAACCAGCCAGGGCAAACTTCCCCTTTTTGTACTATTGTGTTGGACATTTTTTATGTTGAGTATGTCCCTCCATTAACACTTCGCATTTCTAAAATAAGATGGAGAACGAATTAACGATACGATTTCCCCTTTTGGCGGCTTTTCTAATTCCATGGAATGAGACTCTGTGTGTGGCTTCTGGTGGGGGGCCTGTGGGAAGGAGGGAAGTTGGGGGAGATGGAGAAAACTGAAGGCGTATTCCCCCAGGCCTGAGCCAGGGCCTGGCAACACGGAAGACCTCAAGGTTATAAAACAAAAGCATCCCCACCATGATGGAGGAATGGAATGCATATTGGGCTCTTTCCAAAGTCAGGGGCTGCAGGTAAACCCTGTTGCTGGGCCTCCTTCATCTACGAGCACCTGTGACTCCAGCCCACACCCGGGCCGAGAGGGACTTGTGGACGGGAGGCTGCAGTGGCTGGAACTGAACGTGAACCTCTCCCGCCCCGGCCGCAGGTTACTGATCGAGTTCTATGACTCGCCGGATCCGGACAGAAGGAACCGGTTTCCCGGGGAAAGTGTCAGCTCTAAGCTGAGCCTCAGGAAGACGCTGCCATCACTGCTGGTCCTGAGCGGCTTGACCGCGGGCATGCTGGCCACCGAGGCTGGGAGGAAGCTGTACGTGAAGACGTGGCTCTACGGGACCCTGCTCGGCTGCCTATGGGTCAGTATCAAAGCGTAGACCCCAGGCCGGGGCGCTGCGTGGTCGTGGCTGTTCGTGAGTGTAGTCAGAGTGTAAATAAAGCTTGTTGACTGAGTGTTGGGCACAATAGAATCTCTCACCAGAGCCGGGGGGCAGGTGATCTGGCAGATGCAGGGGCTCTGGAGGGGTGCGGGCTCGCTGCTGCCCTGGGCGCTGTCGGGAGCCAGGCCAGCTCAGAGCGGGGCTGTGGGGCTCGTCACTGTGCGTCACTCGGTGGCGGTACTCGTGAGCATTCGCAGTATGTTCCACTGATGGTGTTATTTCCAGTTTTTACAACTTGACTGGTCCAAACTCTGGTCACTAAAGTATTGAGAACCTTGCAGCTCCGTAACGTTTTTCTTCCTGCATAACTTCCTCCAAGTCAGTGAAGGGAAGTGGACTGAAGGACCTAGGGAGAGGCGGACGGGCAAGCCACGCCCTCTCGTGAGTACCTGCTTCCCGGCTGGTTTCACTTTGTAGTTGCAAAGTAACTCATTTCTGACGTTTGTTGAAACAGCCTCATGTGCACACTGCACACCATACAAGAGTAGTGGACAGTACAAGCGTCGGCGCCATTACATGGTGGCAGGACTTGCACTGCCTGCGCTCTGCAGACTCCAGCCGAGCTCTCCACACTGGTAGCACCTGTGCCATATGCACCCGCAAGCCTTAAGGCTCCTTCCTTCCTATTTAAGACGACTATGGCGCTCCTGGGGAACCCGCGTCCCAGCGCTCAAGGTGCTGGAGCCTCATCTGCTGGCTGACCTGCCTGTGCCTTCTCCTGTCACTCTGGGTTTAGAGCATTTACCCCGCGTCGCGTTGTCATCCCGTGGCGATCCTCTGTGTGGCCAGCCAGGTGCTCGTGGCTCCCGCGGAGCTGCCAGGGAGCGTGTGTGACGGGTCGTCCCCCACTCCAGCCCTGCTGGGGGCATCGCGGTCCCGCCAGGACGTCCGCCCTCGAGCCAGTGAGGCCCGGGCGTCACCCACGGGCCTGAGTGGGCACGTCAGCGTCAGCGTGACAGGTCGCAGCCCTCTGTCCCCTCGACCAAGAGCTGTGTGTCAGGTTCCTGGTCTCAGGGTTCCTGTGATGGACGCTTGACGTGCGACCTGCTCTGTTTCTGTGTCGTCGTCGAACGTGGTGCCTGTTGGTCCCTAAGGCGGGGGCTCTGCTCCTGCTGGTGGGTTGGCCTGTGGATGCCGCTGCGCCCACCAGCCCATCTCGAGGGACCGCAATCGCGGGGAGTCCTGCCTGGTTCTCCAGAATGGGGTGAGCCTCCTCGGGCGGGGGGCCTCGCCTGTGTAGCAGGTGAACACGCCTTCACGCAGCCCCCTGGGAGCGCCGGCCTGGGCGTGACGGGGTCGGTGAAACCTCTGAAAGTGTTCTCAGACCAAATTGCAACCTTTTCTGACCTGTAAAGTGGAACTCGGCTCTGCCTTTGTGCTTTTTAAAGTCTTAACGTTAGACCTGCTTCTGACCAGAGCAAACTGCTGTAGGTTGTGTAACTGCTGGCAATGTGATGGTTATGCTCTGAATCTAAATTCTAAGAAGCAATTTACAATTTGAGAATTGCATTGATTGTAATGGACTTTAAGAAGGCAAAGTGAACTGCGTAAGGTCACTTAAACATTCTGTTTTTATGACTATCCTTATATTCTCACAAAGGGCCTGTAAAATATTTGTTAAAAAATTTGTATCAAAATGTTTGGAAAATTACAAGTTTCTTTTTAACGTGTGTTGAAATGACCTGAATTATTATTTTCTAAAGTGAAGAGCCTGCCTCAACTTGGAAACCTCTTCACATAATGTCACTCGCTTTGGTTCCTGTTGTTAATTTGCCCCTCGGTTCGATGTCATGCTTTTATGTTCTTCAGAGATGGGTGTGTTTGGGTGAAAGTAAAAGAAAAAATAAACCTTTCACTGTCTCTCACATGTGTGCTATTCAGCATTCCGCGACCCAAAAATTCCCCGCTGTCGTCCGTTCCATGGAACAGGCTTCCCGCTGGCCCTGCCTCCGGAATGCATAAAACTATATATTTTTAAAGTGTCGAGCAAGTTTAAGGAAAAAGACATGAAACACTCAGCTGTGAAGCAGTGTATTGGTAGTGATATAACTCCTTGCTTGACAACCTTCCTCACTACCGTCTCACTGAGCGTGCCCAACGCGGCGGTGGCCGGTCCCCGACCGATCCTGGCGAGTCCACAGCAAGGGTTCCCTTCCGCTGGGCGTGGCACCCAATCTCGAGGGCATGAGTTTGACTCTCCTCTGCAGTGTTACGTGGCTTCAAATCACATTCGCTGAATAGTCTGTCAATAGGTGGTCTGATTAGATGGACCATTCAAAAAATATGAGCGAAACGTATGGAAAACTTGCCCATCACGTACAGACAACGCACAGTACCTGCCAGACACACCCAGATCACACCTGAGAAGGCGAGGGTCTGTCCTTGGCGGGGACAGGTGTGTAGTCCAGGTACAGGTCGGCCTTGGCAGGGACTGCTAGGCTTGGGGTGCTGGGCTGGGGAGCGGCCAGTGTGCACGGAGCGCTGTGAGGTGAGCTGGAGGCTGCGGGCATGTCGGGCCACGTCACTGACAGCACCACCTCTCAAAACCGGGCTTCTCGTGGCTCAGACGGCGTCACCTTCACAGTCCCTTCCGCTCCCGAGTCTCACCTGTTGGGGGAGGGGTGGCTGGGGGTCCCGGGGCTAGGCCGCTGGAGTGTGACTCCTCTGCCCTTGGGCAGTGCAGTGACCTGGAGTCGGTTCCCAAGCTCTGTGCCTCAGTTTCCCTAATTGTAAAGGCAATGACAAGAGTGGCACCTACCCCATAGGACTGTGGTGAGGATGGAGCAAGGTGTGCACCTGAGTGGAGCTGCCCCGTTCCAGAGGCTGGGTGTCTGTGGTTCTCAAAAGCATCCCCTCCATCCTGCGTGAGACAGTGGCAGGACCCCCCGCGCGCTAGGACTTCATCCCACCCATGTCTTTCAGTGTAAATCAGCGCAAATCCTGGCCCACGTGGCCGCCAGCAGGCTCCGCCGGCACCGGCACTGTCGTACTGAGGTGTCTGGGCTGCCGGGTTCACTTGGCATGTGACGCTGTGACGGAGTGACGTCGATTGAGTCCATGCGAGCTCTGCCCGTGCACCTCGCCTGTGCGTGGTCGGTGCTGTGGTCTCTGCTTCTCCGCCCTCTGTTTCTACAAGTTGAGATGAGTAAAGAGCTTTATTTCATTTTAAACCTATTTTTATGGTTGAGAGTATTAGAGACACTCCCGTTCCCCCCTTCCCGCTCCTCCCAGCCGTCCTCCTCTCCCCCAGGTCTTTCTCTCCCTATCGCCTGCCGTGGGCGGCCCATGTAGGTCTGTAAGTCCTTTGGTTCATCTCTTCTCCGGTAAAGGATTCCGGTCAGGACTAGCCCAGGGCGAGGCCCCACTGGTGTCTGCGTGTTGCCGACCCCCCGAGGTGCCACTCATTTCCTGGTCCGGTTTATTACTGACGGTGGCTCCAGTCAAACATAAAACCAGTGATGGGGCCTCAGTGGGGCTTGGCCTTGAGGCTGTGCATGTGCAAAAGGCCAGGCCGAGGGTGGGGCACCAGTTACAGCCTTGGGTCGCTTCCGCCCGCACCGCAGGCTTTCCCGCACTGTTTCCCGGCACCTCCCAGCCCCGGGCCTGATGCACAGGGACCCCGTCAGATACGCTCCCCCTCTCCAGGCAAGCCCACTCCCTGGTCTTCTCCCGCTGCCATCATCGGCTTCCGACAGCCCTGACCCCAGCACGGGCACTGCCCGGCCCCAGTTTGCCTCTTAGACGTGTGAGTGACCCTGCCTTCTCACCGCATTGCCCTGGGGTGGCTCAGTCCCAGGGCTCCAGGGCCCTTGAATTGTGAAATGTGCTCTAGGTGTCCGCTGCACAAGGTTTGTAAGGATTAGTCCAAAATAGAAGGTGCAGCAATTTATCATCTGGACATTGAGGACATCTGTGACAATAGGGATCTATTCTGTTGTTTTAACTGTGCAGTCTGAAGTCAGATTATTTGAAAACATAAACAGCTTTTAATAGTATTTATTCAACATTTAACACGTGGTAGGAAAGTTATGAGTTGATAGGATCATCCGCAACTGCTGGTGGAGGCAAGGCCGCACGGCCAGGGAACAGTACCTGACGCTGACTCAACCCGAGACCTGCTGGCTCCGGCCGGCGCACCGTGCGCTGCCTCACGCAGGGCTGCGGGCTTGTTGTTTTTCTTAGGGTTTCCAAGTTCACAGACAGGAGCCCAGGCGCTGGTGTTTTGTCTAGTCGTCTTCTCTGAAGGCGGCTCCGTCTGAGTCACAGCCCTGGTCGCTGTGCCCACAGGTGGAGACCAGGGGAGAACCTGGTCTCTGGGACCTCGGCCAGTTTGAACTCCGATGACCAGATCCTGATGTGATTGTTGGAAGCTCAGCATAACACCATATCGCAGATGAAGCTGATTCCGTGTAGCAGAGACGTGTGTGTACACGCAGATCTATGTGAAAATACAGGCCTATGTCCTGGCGGGTGTGGCTCAGCTGGGCGTCACCCCAAGCACGAAAGGCTGCCAGTCGATTCCTGGTCCAGGGCACATGCCTGGGTTTCGGGCTCCATCCCCGGAGAGAGGTGTGTGGGAGGCACCAATGGATGTTTCTCGCTCATCGATGTTTCTCTCCCTTTCCCTTCCTCTCTCTAAAGCAGGGGTCCTCAGACTTTCTAAACAGGGGCCAGTTCACTGTCCCTCAGACCGTTGGAGGGCCAGATTATAGTTTAAAAACAAACTGTGAACAAATTCATATGCACACGGCACATATCTTATTTTGAAGTAAAAAAACAAAACGGGAACAAATACAATATTTGTATTTGCATGTGGCCTGCGGGCCGTAGTTTGAGGACCCCTGCTCTAAAGTATCAAACTGTTCATTGAATAATAATAATAATTTACCATCCATGGTAAGGATTTCTCGGACGATGCTGAATTCCTCTCTCCGCATCTTTAATGTCGACCCCAGGATCTGGGCGACCTCTCTGAAGACTTGATGCAAGTGCCTCTCCCGTGTTCCTTAACTCCCATACGTGCCCCGTACCGCTCCTCACACCGTATAGAAGCCATCCGCGTGCACGTTCACGCGTGCTCACCATCAGCTAGGCCAGGGCAGCACCATGCCTTTAATTAAAGTGCTTTGCATACACAGTGGACACCGTCCCTGTTCACGGAAAAGCCCCTGAAGAATAGCAGGCCTTTCTCATTTCCTGTCACTCAGGCCTCACACCCAGGCCGGGAGGCCGGGAGGCGGATGGGGGTCCCCACGTGTCCCACCACAAAGGTCAAAATCTCATCGTCCGACCCCGCCGGGCCTTCAGAGGGGCCTGACCTTTGCCTTTCAGGCCCAGAGAGGGAGGAAACAAGTGTGGGAGCCTGACCAAGACCCTGCCCCTCCCTGCAGGGGTCCCCGCCCACAG